TTTAAGGCCCCTCCCAACCCAAACCATTCTGGGATTCTTTCTTCAAGAGAACCATGCTGAGGATGCTGAACTCTCAATGCAGAGAGCAGATTTGAACACAGATTTCTTGGTGCTCCCTGAGTTTGTTTGTGGGATCTGTGTTGCCAGGCAGAGGGCAACACCAACGGGAGCTTTTTCTGGACATGAGGCTCCGGTTCCTAGAAATGAGTAACTGAAGTACCTTGGRAAAAGTTTCCCAAGAAAAACAGTTGATTGTGAAAGCAATGGGAAAAAAAAAATCTACATTCTCAGAAGCAGCTCTGCTGTCCAGGCTTTTATTTTGCTCTTAAAGTTCTCCTTGGATGGGGTAAAAAAATAAAACATAAAAATCCCTCTTTTCCTGCCCCACTGTAACTAATAATAATTACCTTCCTAAGTCCTGCCATTAATATTGAGTAATCCCAGTTAAATGGTCCTTTGTTTTAACAATGACCACCTTCTCTCTGTTCCCTGAAATGTGGGATATCTCACTTCTTTTCCCAAAAAGAAATGCTCCTAAATACAGGAGCACGCACTGGGTTTTGCCACGTTTTCCAAAGCACTGCAGGAGGAAGGGACATGGATGGATTTCAGTACTGAAGAGATGAGGAGGAAGAGGACAGAACAATCTTCCAGGAGCTCCCACCATTTACAGGGGCTGTGTTTATTTTAACTATGTGAATCCTAAGAAAATGTATTTTTAGTGAAGAACAAAGTGAGAATAAAGACTTAGGAAAATACTAAAATTCTGAACTAGACTCCTGCTTTAAAGGTTTCCCTCAGGACTTGCGATTCCACCGACGCACAAGTCCTGATGCCTCTGAAATCATGGCAATTCCCTGTGTGAGGCCGCACCTGGAAGAGATAGAAGCATTTCCCTCCGTACTCGGATATTTCCACACCGGGCGTTTCTGTGCCTCAGGTTTTTAAGGCGAAATCCCTCACTGCGTATTTTGCAAGGCTTTGCCTTCCTGAATTTGTCGGATAAGTTGCGGGGAGCTTTGGGGACCGAGGCCGGGCCGTGTATGGAAATACAGAGCGATGAATCCCGTGTGGAATTAGAGACAAGCTTGCTCCTTGCTTATATCGGTGATTGTGGCTGTATAATGCAGTCAGAGGGATAAATTTCAGGACAGCGAAGCCTTTCCCGAGCTCCCATTGTCACCGCCTCGCTCCGAGCGCGGCCCCAAAGTCGCGACAAGCGACATTCGCGGGCTGCGAAAGGCGGTGGCGACCCCGCCTACAACTCCCAGCAGGCAAAGCGGTGCCCTCGGCCCGCGGCGGACGCTGCCGGCGCGCAAAGCACGCCGGGATCTGTAGTTCCCTGGTGGCGACGGCGTTGCGTCACTCGCCCCGCCCGCTCGTTGCTATGACAACCAGGCCAGTAGGTGGGGCCGCGCGGGAAGCGGCGTCAGCGGCTGGGAAGTGACGGCAAAAGGACCCGGATGCTCAGGGGGCGGGGTTCCTACTCCCCTCCCCGCGCTCGGGTCACGTGAGCGCGGCGGTCACGTGACGGCGCGATGGGCACRGCGCTGGACGTGCGGGTGAAGCGCGCCGGGAAGGTTTATCGCGATGGGGTGCGTCTGTCGCGATAGCGACCGGGGAACAGCGCCGGGCCGCGGCGGGCGAGCGGCCGRGGAGGCCAGTGGTGTCCKGGGGAAGAGCATTCCCAGCGGGTCAGGGAGGGATCCTGCCCCTGTGCCAGCCCGGGAGGCTCCTCTGGGTGCCGTGTCCAGCTGTGGCCCCTCAGAGGAGCCCAGCAGGGACAGGGAGCTCCTGGAGCGGGGCCGGCCGAGGCTGCGGAGATGAGGAAGGGCCGGGAGCAGCTCCGTGCCCAGGAAAGGCTGAGGGAGCCGGGGCTGCTCAGCCTCCAGAGGAGCCCCAGCCCAGAGGGGCCCTCGGCCCTGGCTGTCCCTGGGTGCAGGGAGGGCTCCGAGCAGGGCCCGGGCTCTGCTCCGGGGGGGACCCAGCGATGGCACCCGAGGGACGGGCAGGGACTGAGCCCAGGGAGCTCCCCCTGCACAGGAGGCAGAACGTTTGCCCAGGGAGGGGGTAAAGCCCGGCACAGCTGCCGAGGGAGGGCGTGGAGTCTCCMTCTCTGGGAGAGRCCCACCTGGACACGTTCCTGTGTCACCTGCTCCCGGTGACCGTGCCTGGGCAGAGGCTTGGAGTGGATGATCCCCAGCGGTCCCTTCCAGCCCCAGCTATTCCGCGATTCCGTGACTCTCTCGCGGATGCTCGGGGTCTGTCGCGACCCGGCCGAGCCGCGGGTSTCGCTGGGCTTCGGGGCCGTGTCCTGGCCCGGGCTTCCCGCTGGAATCGGCCGGGACCGCCCTTGGCAGCGGGGATTCCTCGGCAAGCGGAGTCGTTCGCCCTCTCCTGTCGGTGCTGTCGCAGTGTCGGCGCCTTTCCCTGTGTCCCTACCCGAGGCTTTCCCTGTTGTCCCGGGGCTTTCCCTGTTCCCTGCCCAGAGCTTTTCCCGTGCCCTGGAGCTTTCCCTCTCCCCGATCCCGATGGTCTCCTGTGGGGCCGGCATGCTCCGTGCCGGGATTTTGGGCATTGCCTTTAGGATGAAGTGTTATATTTCATCCTTTCCTTTTTCCCGGGTACCGCGGGAATCCCCTGACCCAGYTCTGCAGGAGCTGGTAAGGCTTGAAACAAAAGAGAAGGAATATTTTTACTTTTTATCGCTATTTACTGAGAATTCCTGAGCTGTTCAGTAGAAACGTTCAGGTCTCTTTTTTTTTTTGCCATCCAGCCACACACTGGTATAGTAAAAATCCTTTCCATACACCAGAATTCCATTTCTTGAATGATTTTAATGCTGGAAAACTGGATTTGAATGGAAGGGCATGCAACATCTGTRCTACAGTTGTCAGATTATCTGGAGAATGGCTTTGGCAAAGCTGAATTRTTCCCTTTATCAGTGGCTCCATAGTGGTAAATACTGTCTGTGTCTCACTTCCACATCATTTKATAAATTAGAAAATGATAAACTATTAGGATTTCGTTTATTTATCTATTTCAGTATCTCGGTGCTGTGTCCATTTTCAGTTTCTTCCCTTGACCTGCTTTATAACACTTAGCTGGATATATTTATTTTTAATATGAAAATGGGATTTTTTTTCACCTCTGTTTTAAAGTGAAATTAGGATATTTCTGGYCAGTCAATCAGTCAGTTTTGTTTGCTTCCACTTTTAACACCATTTGAAAAGTTCTGTAATTTTAGTTTATTAACCAGGCCTAGAATTTGGAGGTCTGAGGTGAAAATGGACGGATGGAAAGACTGTACATGAGGAATATGACACAAATTTAGGAATTTTGTAGAGGCAGAAAGAAATGCTGGAAGAAAAATTGATATTTTTCTTCCTTCCCCTTGCTGCTCCCAGGACATTCACCCCTCCCTTGTGGAAGTGTGTAGGCAGCAGCTCTGCTCTGGGTTGTTGCTGTGTCACAGGGAACTTCTCCTTTGTTAAAACAGTTCACATGTTCAGGGTTGTCCTTGCTTCTCAGAGTTGAGCTGGACTCATTTTTTTTTTTTTTTAAAGCAATAACCTAATTGCTTGTGCTAATTAAGSCCCTTCAGCAGAGCAGTGCAGAATTTAGGTCAGCTTTTCTTTGCTGTCCTTTTGTGCTCGTGCCTCCTGTTCCGGCATTTCCCACTTGCTGCACATCCTCTTCCCAGGCTCTCAGGATGGCAGCCTTGCTTGGAATGTGGATGTTTTCCTGCTTCCTCAACCCCCCCGACCCATTTTTGCCATCCTGCACCACCAGGAAASACAAAATCTGCCCAAACTCCCGGTCTTTTGGAGAGATTTGGTTTGAACTGGTTGGATGCAGAGTCAGGATTCTCCCATGGTTGGAGGGAGATCAACCTTGGAGCYTGGGGAAGGAGCAGCAGAAAAGGTTCATCCCCAGGAACTCTCTGGGTTCTCAAACCTACCCTTTCCAGCTGGGAATGTCTGGGGATTGAAGCACATTCTGCATTTGTGGGGAAGGGAAGGATAACCCACAGAGTGTGTGAAGGGAGCTGGATGTTGCTCTCTCACAGTTCACCAGTTTTTCAGTGTTCAAAAGCCTGAGTTGACTCTTTGAKGGTGCAGCATTTTTGTGCAAAGGATATTTTGTGGAGAGAACATCCTTCATRGGGTGAGTGACAACATTCCTGGAGTCACACAGCTCTGCCTTTGATGCAGATACCCTTTGAAACTGTTCCTTCCAGTTCATTTTTGTAATTTAGATCTCTCCCGCTCTGCTCTGACCTTCACCTTGGCCATCCCTTCTCTGTTTCCCTGTCCATGGCTCACCATCCCTGTTTTAATACAGCAATTCCTCCTGGGGRATTATTCCAGYGCAGCAAATGGAACTTGGCTGTTACCAACTGACCCAGTGAGAGGGTTTTTCATCATCCTGGGGAGAAAAATCTTGAAACTTTGGGAAGAAGTTGAAGCTGAGCTTAATACTTCTGCCATGAGGAGGATGATATTTTTAAGGAAAACAAACCACAAGTGCAGAGCTCTCATCCTAAATTCCTTCATCAGTGTTTGTCTTTCCTGACAAGGTTACACCATCCTTTTGGAAAAAGTTTTTTTCAGTTTGGAGATCAGTTCCACACTGTCTGGCAAACAGCTATGAAAAAATAAGGTTTTTTAAATGTTTTCCTCTTTCCTGTTAGGAAATTCTTTCTGGAGTGGTGGTCATAACAAGCAAGGATGCGGTGCAGCACCAAGGGATCTCCTTAACCATGGAAGGATCAGTAAATCTGCAGCTCAGTGCCAAAAATGTGGGTGTGTTTGAGGCCTTCTGCAACACTGCCAAGGTAAGAACTGCACAGGTGAATATTTTAACACCAAAAAACTCTCTCTTCTGAAATAAAACTTTCCTTCAAAAGRCTCTCAGGTGATCAGAGCACTTCATGATGTGGAAGTGATGGAAAGCAGGGAAATGCTCAGCTTTATCTGGAGATCCCAGCATGGGTGAGGCTGGAAGGGTCCACAGTGGGGTCACCTGGTGCCACYTCCCTGCCCCAGCAGGGCCATCCCRGAGCACAGGGCACAGGGCTGTGTCCAGCTGGCTCTGGAATATCCCCAGCAGGGATATATGAGGGCATTTTGGGCAAGGAACTCGRACTGATGGGAGAATTTTCTTTCAGGCTTTAATACATTGCCATAAATAGTTAAAAAGGGTTACTGGATGATGTCTTGAAGGGCTGTTATTTAAAGAAAAACAATGAATTGTGTGGCTTCATTTTATTTTTTGTGAAAGTGACTGGGTTTTATTGGACTTTTGTGCCAGATCAGTGCCTGTAACAGCGATTTCTGTGGAAGTCATGGGGGATTCCTGGCCATGGGRCAGCACTTGCCCCAGTTCCTCTGGAGACAGTGAGGCTGTGCACAGCCTGTGGAGCCCCTGGAAGGGCTCTGGGTGRGGTTTGGATCCCAGCAGGAACTTACCCTGGGCTCCACAGGCTGTGCTGATGGGACCAGGGCTGGATCTGGAGGTGGCCACATTTGGGAAAGTTTAAGTTGGGATGGCCTTGAATAATAGAATCATGAAAGGTTTGGGTTGGAAGGGACCTAAAATCCCACCCAGCACCGYCCATGCCATGGCAGGGCCACCTCCCACTGTCCCAGGCTGCTCCCAGCCCCAATGTCCAGCCTGGCCTTGGGCACTCAAAGGGATCCAGGGGCWGCCACAGCTTCTCTGSGCACCCTGTGCCAGGGCCTGCCCACCCTCCCAGGGAACAATTCCTGCCCAATATCCCMCCCCARTCTCCCCTTTCCCATTCTGAAGCCATTCCCTCGCTCCTGTCCCTCCAGCCCTTGTTCCCAGTCCCTCTTCACCTCTCCTGGAGCCCCTTTGGGCCCTGCAAGGGGCTCTGAGCTCTCCGTGGAGCCTTCTCCAGGCTGAACAATCCCAAYTTTTCCCAGCCCAGCTCCAGCCCTGGGATCAACTTCATGGCCTCCTCTGGGCTTGTTCCAACAGCTCCACATCTTTCTTATGTTGGAAGCCCAAGACTTGGGGAAAACAATGGAAAAACTGCAGAGAGAAAAGAAATGTCATCCCCAAGCCACCTCCCAATCAAAACACAGTTGGCCCTGATTGCAGTGAGAGTTACCCTAAATAATAACAGTTTAGGGTGAGAAAGGGCTGGGATGGCTCAGCTGCACAGCCTTGTTCCTTCCTGCTGCTGCTAAGGGTCATAATTTAGGAAATGAAGCTCCACTTCCCAAAGCTGGAGATGCTCCTGTTGAGCGCCCTGAATATCCTTGGTCATGAGTGTGATGCAGCTGTAAAATAAATCACAGATCATTTTCTTGAGCAAAGCATTAATGCTTCTTTTCATTGTAAAGAAATGTCCCAGCACTGTGTTTTTAAAAAGGTCCCTGGAATTCTGGAAATCCAGGAATTCTGTCAGAGTTCAGATGCTGTTGGTTCTCTGTCTCAGCCTAAACCTTTTTAATCTTTATCCTTGCAGCCTATCCAGATCATCAACAGCACCATTGAAATGGTGAAACCAGGGAAGCTCCCCAGTGGCAAGACAGAAATTCCCTTTGAATTCCCACTGCAAATGAAGGGGAACAAAGTTCTGTAYGAGACCTATCATGGAGTCTTTGTCAACATCCAGGTGAGGAAAGAAAAGATTGGATCTGCACAATGTATTTGAAATTCCTCATATTCATGGAAATTTGGGATGAATTTTGGTGGTGTTTTCCTTTCACAGTGCAATGTTTTCTCAGTTTGAAGGCTGAGCCTTCCATAACTTTGTTCAATAAATCTTTAAGGAATGATGGCACAAACATCAGTTATAAAATATTTTGCCTGAAATACCTTGGCAGAACTTTAATCTGATCCATCCTGATGTTGTAAAGACTGTACCCATTCCCCTCCTGAAAAGAACCAGCCCCACAGTGGTTTTATTCCAAATAAATGTGTCATTTCATAATAAAAACTAAAGTGTTGAGAGCAACAGAAATCAGGAATTATTTACTTTCCTGGGGAGAGGAGAAGGAGTAACATTTCCTGCCCCAATCTTTATGGAATACCTGCTTGTATTTCCATGGAATCTTGAGGAGAAACAGTTCTGAAATCTGACCTTTTGTGGTTAAAAATTGTCTTACCTTAGGTGGGTTGATTGGTTTGGGTGGTTTTGGTGAGGTTTTTTTAGGGGGAAAGTTTCTTCATCCACCTCTTGAAGGTCAGTACTGTGTTAGACAATGAAGAAAGTTTAAAAAAAAAACAACCAAATAACCCAAATCACCCCCCAGTAGCCTGTCAGAAGTCACCAAAAGAAAAAAGTTCCCTGTTTTTTGTCTATGTTTGGATATTTTTTGTTTAGTTTTGGCTTTCTCCCTCAAACAGCTGCTGTTTGTGGTGGGGATGTCAAAAATGGTGCAGCACTGGTTGGGTTGCTTCCCATATATTCCCATATCCCAAAAAACTTGCTGTGGTAACATCAGTCAGTTTGAGGTGCACTTTAACGGGGAATATTTGCTTTATTTTGTCATTCCTTTTCTCCTCTGTGTCACTTTCCTTGGCTAAAATATCATTAAAAAATTAAATAATTTACATTTCAGCCAAACTTTGAGAGTTCTGCTCTCTGGAAGAGGGAAATGTAACACTGCTTGGGAGACTTTTGGGCAGTTTGAAACTCTGTTTCTTGATTTAGGGAGGAGCTGTGGGTTCAAATCTCTGTTCTGATTAGGAAATCAGACACTGCTGGGGAATTGTGGCCATGAACCAGAAAAAGGAACCCAAAYCCCAGATCTGAGGGCTCCTCTTTTTGCCAGTTCCTCATCTGTAAAGAAGGAATTYGAAATCAAGCAAATAAACAGGAAAACCGCATCCCAATAAATTCCCTGTCTTAYAAGGACACTGCCAGGTTTGTTGGAGATACTGAAGTTTCAGGATTACTGGGATAACCAAAGTTACAATTTCCAGCCCCTGGTTTATGGCTCCCATTTTAGGGGAGGAAATGGGAAGCAAATTCACCTCATTGCCTGATTTTAGTGCAAACTKCTGCTTTGAGCTCAGCTGTGTGCTGGAGACAGCTCCCCGTTAAATATCCCACAAAAAAATCAAAATTAGAGGGGCTGTCAATACATCCCATTGAGAATCCCTTATCCAAAATAGGGTGAAAAGCAAGACTGTGATCACCTTTAAGGGGATGTGACAGCAACAACATCCTGCACAGAGGCAAAAAGGAGGAGAAAAGTTGGGAAAGATTGAGGAAATCTGAATTAAAGCTCTCTTCTTTTCCCTGTGTCATCCCATTCCCCCAGTACACCCTGCGCTGTGACATGAGACGCTCCCTGCTGGCAAAGGACCTGACCAAGACCTGTGAATTCATCGTCCACTCCCTGGTGAGTGTGGGTTGTGTTTGTTCTGCAATTAATTAATTTTTTTTTGGTTGATTCCCCCCCGCCCCAAGTTCACTTAAAAGTTTGGCAGTAAGAGAAAAAAAAACAAACCCAGAGAAATTGTGATAGCAACATGTGGGATCATGGAATTGTAGGATCAGAATATCCTCAGCTGGAAGTTGTGTTCATTCCGCAATTAATTAATTTTTTTGATTGATTTTTTTTCCCCCAGTTCACATACAGTTTGGCAGTGAGGAAAAAAAGAAAAAAACAAACAAACCCAGAGCAATTGTGCTAGTGATAGGTGGGAAGTGTAGGATCAGAATATCCTGAGGTGGAAGGGACCCCAAGGATCATCAAATCCAACTCCTGGCCTTGCCCAGGAGACCCCAAAACCCCACCCTGTGCCTGAGAGCATTGTCCAAAATGCAGGAGTAAAGGAAGTCAGCCCCAAAACAAAACCACCCCAAAACAAAACCACCCCAAAGAGCTGTTCTTCTGATAAAAAAAAATCTTTCTTTTAATTTTAAAGGCAATAGGACAAAGAAGAGTTGTATTTTCTGATGTTTTTACAGTGCCCTGAGTTTATTGTGTTCATCCTTTCAGTGCTGAGACAAAGAGGTGGTCACATCATTGTGATGTCATTTTTCCAGACCTTGATTTGAATGATCCCAGTTGTTCTCAGCCAAAGCTTCCAGRCACCCACAGTCCTGGAAATGGGAACTGGGTGGTGAAAATATCGGATTCCTGTACTCTTACAACTTACTGGGACATCCTTTTTGTGCCATTCCTTTAAACTCTAACAGGACAATCAATATTAAAACTTTTTGTTTTACGTAGGACGAGTGGTGAAAATATTATTTTACTTCTGAAGTACCTTTTTAAGAGAAACAGTTCGGTGTTACTAACAAGTTTCTTGTTGGTAAAATTCCATTATTTTTTCTCAAATATCCAATGCTACATTTGATTGGTCCATTATTAAATTTATAAGCAAGCCACACTTGTCAGAGGAGTGACAAACAACATCCCACACTGTTCCCTGGGTTTATTTCTTGTTCTACTATAGCACTTCTGAACTCACAAGTCAATAAATCATGAATCTCTCAGTCAGGGTGAATTAATGAGCTTTTACTGAACACATAATTCTCACTGGCACTGCTCAATGTACCATTTCCCTTAAACTTATTCCTTACCAGATTTTGTCATTTTGGGAAAATCTTTTGCTAATCTTTTCCATCTTGCAGCTATTTGGAATTCTTGAGCAGTGAGGGCAGATCCTGTCTGAGAGTTCACATCAGCCCGTTGCTGGTGAACAGGAGGGAGGCAGAGTTTATAAAGCAGATCTGAAAAATTCTAAATTCATTTCTAATCTCCCCTCTTCAAATTTAATAAGGAAAGGAAACATTGAGGTATAAAMTGAATTTATTTGTACGTACAGAAATACGAAATGGAACTTTTTTTTTTCCTCTGCTTCAGATGGAGAGTGTATTCTTGCTTTTCCAGGTGGTTTAGAGCAGCCAACTGTTGTGTTTTTTAATATTCTCTGTGTGTTTTGGACATCAGTGATRGTTTAACCCTTTCACTCCCTGCAGTCACAGAAAGGGAAGCTGCTGCCGAGCCCTGTGGACTTCACCATTACCCCTGAAACTTTGCAGAACGTTAAAGAGGTAAAAKGATTTTCTTATTATTTCATTTAAAATGTTATTTTTTATGACTCTGAGGAGGGATTAAATCCTGCCGTGTAGATAACCAGCTCTTTCTTTTTTTTCCCCTTTTTCACTTGTATGACCAATCAAGTGATTCTGCCTCATCTCTTGCATTGTGGTGATAAATTGAAGGTGGAACTTCACTCAGGAATTGTTAAATATTTCCCTCTCTTTCCTGAGTAGAGCAAGTGAAAACATTCTTTATGCTGTACTGCCAAGTGCCTTTAAAAATGTGAATTTTGATTCTTGGTTATGTCTATTTTACAGCTCCCTGTGGAAAAGCTTTGGGAAGCCTCAAGGAGGGCAGGGCCAGATGGGATATTGGGCAGGAATTGCTCCCTGGGAAGGTGGGCAGGCCCTGGCACAGGGTGCCCAGAGAAGCTGTGGCTGCCCCTGGATCCCTTTGAGTGCCCAAGGCCAGGCTGGACATTGGGGCTGGGAGCAGCCTGGGACAGTGGGAGGTGTCCCCTCCTTCACCACACGCTTCCAGCTCCTGGGTGAACTCCAACAGCCAAGTTCTGTCAGTTCTTGGTGGATGGAGCAGCAGGAAGGATGGATGTCAAAGGAGAAGATTGGAGGAGATCACCTCATGCAGTTGGAAACAATTAAATTTGAGCTACGTGAGGAATTTCTTGAGCTTTTAACTTCAGAACTTTTGGGGAATTTCCTCCATATTTTGACAACTTTCCATAAGGTATTTTTTTTTCTTAGCCTGCTCTTAGAGCGTCAACCTTTTCTCCTCCATCCAATCCTTTCAGAGAGCCTCCCTTCCCAAATTCCTGATCCGAGGGCACCTGAATTCCACCAACTGCGTGATCACGCAGCCCCTGACGGGCGAGCTGGTGGTGGAGAGCGCCGAGGCGGCCRTCAAGAGCATCGAGCTGCAGCTCGTGCGTGTGGAGACCTGTGGTGAGTCCTCACCCACGGGGAGGGCAGGGAATGGCTGCAGGAATTCCCTCCAGGCCTTCCCAGGGAAAGAGGGGAGAGTTCAAGACAGCTCACAGCAAAGCCTTGCAGGGTGTCTCAGTTTGAGATGATGTTTTTAGAGAAAAACATTACAGAGTAAATGGTTTTTTTGAAGTGAAAAATTTGATAATTTTTTTTTTATTAAAATGAAATAGATGTTTGGGTAAAAAGTGAAGAGGAAAAAGAAGTAGTTTATTAATAAAATATAGTATATATTTCATAGTATATATATTTATATATAGTATACTATATAAATATAGTAAAATATAGGATATAGATAAAAAGTAATTGTTAGATATTTAAAAGTTAGGAATACATGTTTTTTTTTAGTCGTTTGTTACGTGGTGTGGAGAAAAATGGAGGCTTTTGTTTTTGGGAAAAAAAAACTTACGTGGTCGCTTTTGTAATAGTGGCAAAATTTGGATTATAGTTTTTTTATTTTGTGGATGAAATAGAGCGTTTGGTGTGGTTTTTTGTTGTTGATTTGGCTTTTTTTTGGAGTTTGGGACGAGATGGAGCCGTGTGGCTTTTTCTTGCTGGTTGTTGAATTGTTTTAGAAGCAGAATCACAGGAGCCATGGCGGGGGTTTTTCTAGGGAAAGCTGTTTTATCTAAGCTAACAAATTGGAGCTAGCTAAATGTAAATAATGTAACTTCACCACACGGAGCGAGCAAGGACACCCGCAGCACCAATGGKGAGGTCTAAAAAGTTTACGAACTGAGCTTTAAAAATAAACGGCTTTTAAACTGCCTGCACCACCCTTGCCTTTTTTTTTGGGTTGGAGTTAAAGGCGCAGGCACTTTTTGGGCACACAAGCTGATGCAATATAGGAATACAAGATTGGCACAACATCAACTCAAGACACAGGGTTTGCACTTTGGAGGAGCCATCTCCGTGATCCCTGACTGTCACAGCTCACAGGATACTTTTCCCCTAATCCTGGTGTATCTCTGTTGTAAATTTTGGCTGCTGCTCCCTCTCAACTCTCYCCTCTCTCTGTGCCCCTCCTGCCGTGCCCAGGGTGTGCTGAAGGCTAYGCCAGGGATGCCACAGAGATCCAGAACATCCAGATCGCCGACGGCGACGTCTGCAGGGGCCTCCCCATCCCCATCCACATGGTGTTCCCCAGGCTCTTCACCTGCCCCACCCTGGAAACAACCAACTTCAAAGTGGGTGAGTGCAGAGCCATTTCCATGGCAGAGGGGTGTCCACGTTCCCTTTGGCTTGGGGGTGTTGGAATAAATCCGGGAAGAGCCCAGGAGATCCCTCTGCTTCCCTGCAGAGCTTTCCCAAACCTGAATCCTGCAGGGTTTCAGATGGGGAAACACAGCCCAAACACTTCCCGTCCAAACAATCATGCAACACTGAGCTCCTCCCAAGAAAATTCCATAATAAAGGGCCAGGAGGGGCAGTGCAATGCAGCTCATGTGATAAACACTGGAATGACAGTCCAAGAATAAAATTCCTTTTCCTCACCGGTGAGAGCCCCTCTTTCCATTTCTTGTCCTTTTTTGTTTCCCGCTCTCCTGCTGTAAGCCCTGGAAGCAGCAGGGTTGGTCTGGGTGTGACTTTCCTTATCTACACCACGTGCTCCTCCCTGCTAATTGTTGACAAAATCCATTGTTGTTATTAACAAAAGGAGGATTTTCCTCACTTGTTCCAGTAAGTACTGCAAGAATCCACTTGGCTGGTTTGTATTTCTTCCCTTCATCGTGTTGGAATCTGTGGGCCAGAATCCATGTGCAGTGATTTTCCCCAAAATAACAAYATTCTTTACTTTTTCGCCATTTTTAGCTCTTGCATAGCAATTTGTAGTAAGARTTTAAATTTATTTTAATTTCTGCTCTCCTTCATTTATTAACTCTGCTCGCCTTTTTTGTTCTGTCTCCATTTAGAATTRATTATTGATCTGGTATTGATTTTGGCTTTGAAAATCAATGTAGTATGTAAGTAGTAGATTTTCCTCTGGAATTTTTCTKTGTATTCCAGTATTTCATTCCCTAAGGCTGTTACCTGCTGGAAACAGGGAATGGCTCTGTCCTGGGATTCTCCCATTGCGTGCTCCTCAACACCATCCTGCTAGAGGTGTCTTTCCCAGACAAATTTTGCTCTTTGATATTTAAATCCTGTTTCCCAGATCATTTGTCATAATAAATCAGTGATAAATCAATCCAGAAAAATCCCAAAGATTAGAACAAGGCAGAGTTCTCTGGGAATGGTCGGAGCTCTGGGATGCCTGGGGGAGGTTCTGCCTGGAGTGTTTCAGGAGCTCCTGCCTCATCCTGCTGCTGGGATGGAGCACCATATGGAATTAAACTGGGATTGAACTGGGATTCAGCTCCATATGGGATTGAACTGGGATTCAGCTCCATATGGAATTGAACAGGGATTATACTGGGATTCAGCTCCATATGGAATTGAACTGGGATTATACTGGGATTCAGCTCCATATGGAATTGAACTGGGATTGTACTGTGATTCAGCTCCATATGGAATTGAACTGGGATTATACTGGGATTCAGCTCCATATGGAATTGAACTGGGATTATACTGGGATTCAGCTCCATATGGAATTGAACTGGGATTCAGCTCCATATGGGATTCTGTCTCTCTTTTTCCCCTTCTCCCAGAGTTTGAAGTGAACATCGTGGTCCTTCTGCACGACGATCACCTGATCACAGAGAACTTCCCACTGAAGCTCTGCAGGATGTGAACACCCCAGGAGATTCAGGGCAGGATTTACTGGGCAAGGCCAGAATTCCTCAGAGGGAAAGTGGAGCTTTATCCATGGAACCACCTTGCTTCCTTCTTCCTGTGGATACTTCTGCTTTCATTGCCTGTTAATCTGGCCAAGACTTTGCCTGTCTGGATKTCCCAATCCAGCAGCTTTGGCAGGCATCTTTCTGCCTTCAACAACCATGTTTTCCCCAATTTTTCTCAGGCAAATCCTGAAGGAATCATTCTGTAGCTTTCTACAGCTTGGATAAGTATGTAGCAAGTTCTTCTCCTGGTTTAATTTTGTAATACTTGTTACAAAGTCCTTTGAAGACCCTGTAAAACTCGAAAATCCCATTTTAGCCATGCTGGGAGGACATGGGAATTGTAAAATAGTGAGAAATGGGGTCTTTGAAGGTCTAGAAAATGGTGCTACGACACTGGAAGGTGGTGCTGTGGGATCTGTCCCAAGCTGGATGGGAAAGGAGAGATAAAATCACCCCAAGGAAATTTGGGTCAAACTGGGAACAGGAATTTGTGTTGGAGGAATAAATTGATGTGTTTGTARCTGTTCAGCTCAAAGGAGAAGTGGTTCAGTAAGAAACAACCTTCCCACTACAAAAAAAGTTGTGGATTCTGATGTTTTAATGGAACAGCCACAACCTGTGGATTTTCCATTGATTTTCCATGTGGGGTAGAGGCAGGCTCAGTCTGTACCATGGAAATCCCAAGTGTAAAGATGAGCATCTAAAAATAATTAAGAAAAACAAGAAAAATAATTTCTTTTGGTTTATCCAGCAGCGTGGCCATGGAGAGTGTAATTCCAGTTCTGGCCCTGGTGTTTTAGGGAGAAACAGCTGGAATTTTTATTCCAAAGTCTGGGAAGGAGGGAAATGCTCTTTACTGAAACTTTTAGCACTTTTCTCTGAGAGCAGGGGATGCTGCAGGGGAATTTGGGAAAGTGAAGCCACTCCTGCTCCAAAAGCATCAGGAGCTGCCACTTCCTGCAAACTGTAAAAGATCCAAATATTGGAATTTTTAGCCTTAATTCTGTAGCCCAGAGTAGTTACTCACTCCTAACTCAGACTGAGCAGAAATACTACACAAAACCAACTCGTTGGGCTGCAACAGTGATTTTATTTTTGATTCAGGTGGTAATTAATACATTGCTTAATGACAGAGGAGTTTCAGACTTCAGCTGGAGGATTGAGCAGCGTGGGGAACAAGGGATCCCTGGAATCAACGAACACCTAATCCATCTCATGCTCCCTGTATTCACACAACAGGAATACTTGATTTTCACTTCCAGATTCTCAGGCTCTGGTCCTCTTTTTTTTGGCTGTTGGAGACAAATTTGTCAGTGTTGAAGGTGCTCTGGTCTGTTCAGACTCCAAAAGCGGTTGGGAGAAAAATTCCCTGAGCTGTTGGAATTCTGCCCCTCCTGCTACTGGTGCCCATTCCTGCACAAAATACACAGGAAGTGGTACTTAAAAATCCTTTAAAAATCCTTAAAAAAATYCTTCCCATTTAAACAGACCAGCTCTTCACCAAGGGGGCAAACTCAAATTTCAACCTTTAGTCAAGAATGATCCATATAAATAATTTCAAATTCTCGCTTCAAAATGTTCCTAGAAGTCATTATTTAAACAATTTGGATTACGAGCTGTGGATTTATGCAGAGAGAGAAGCTGCAAGGACCRCTCCATGCTCGAATCCTGCAGTTCAGCTGGAATTTTTATGCCAAAGGAAGGGAATGTCGTGGCTGTTCCAATCTGGTCCATCCTTTGGCTCACCTATTTGTTGGATATTGGAATAAATCTGAGGGAAAARCCTCCTCTTCCCAGGAATAGGCACTGGCCTTTCAGATAAAATAATTTGGTACTTTCAGTGTCTCTCAGTCAAAAAACCACTGGTTTTGTGTGCTGAACTCCACAGCTTTAGGCAGGAACCAGGAGAAATCTTGGATCTTGGGAGTCTGGGGCTCAATATCAAGTGCTGAGGATGTTCCCACTCCCAACAAACCCAGGACTGTCCTGTCCCCCAGCACTGGGGTGATGCTGCTGCAGCCTCTTTCCATCTTTGATTATAAAGTGTGCGAGTCAAAGCAGGTTCAGCTGGACTTGTTCCATGCAGGAAGCTCAGGGAAATCCTCGGGAAGGAGGGCGTGGACCCGGCAGATGGGGCAGGTGCTGGAATGCTGCTTGAGCCACGTCCGGATGCACTGCAGGGACAGGGACAGGGTGAGAGGGGAAATGGGAGAAGAGGAATCCAGCTGGAGCCTCTCAGTCATTGCCACTAATGGGGGAACCCTTCAGCAAGTTCTGCATCACTGAAATTTGGGGCTGGAAAACTCTTCCCCTGCTCTGATCAAATTTATTCTGCGAGAACAGATCAGCATTAAAACGAGAAGGGTAAAGGGTTTAGTCACAGACAGAAAGGTGGAGTTACTGTACCAGAATCCCGCCTTTTTTACCCCAGGAATTTCCACTGTCAAGTGGCAAAGGKTTTTTAGGGGTGCCCCATTCCCTGAGCTTGCTGCCAACCATCCCTGCCCTGCTCAGCGACGTTCATTCTCTGAAGGATGATGAATTATGATTTAACTTATAAAAACTACCTGAAGCTTTCTGCCACAGCCAGGGTCTGGGGGGCAAAGGCTGGATAAACAAATGATGCCCTGTCGGTGAAGCACTGAAGGGTGAGGGGAGGGTAAAGGGGTTTTTGGGAAGTGGAGGGTGCAGGAAGCAGAGCAGAACTCACCTCTCTGTGGAAGTGATGGCCACACTCGAGCTCACAGGAATCCCTGCTCAGCTCATCGTGACAGATGGTGCAGGGATCCTCACTGGAGGCCTGGCCAGGACAGAAATGCTCAGTTATGGAAATACTACCAGCAATTAACCAACAAATTGTACTCAATTAACGAGGTCACTAACTTTACCAAGTCCATTTTAAGCTTTTGTACACAAAATAAACGAGACAATGATTTTCTTTTCCAGGATTATTTCACGTCTTGTACAAAATGCACAGCAACACCTCCATTGGATCGGTGAAAAACTTACAGCATTGTCCTGCTTTTTCCATCTGGCTTTAGGTGTTGTGTTGCCCCAGGGCTGGAGGTTTGGCTGGGCTGRGTTTTTGCTGGAGCTGGTTTTAGGKSCGGCTGCTGCCCGGGGGGAGCCGGGGCCGATTCTTTCCGCGGGCGCTTCCCGGCTCCGCGCTCCCGCCGGGGCTGAGGGAGCAGAGGTGGGGGAAGGCGCAGCTCTGGCGGCCGGAGGTGGAGCCTGGACCGGGAGCAGACAGGAACTGTGATCCTTGGGGCTGGGCTGCTCCGTTCCCACGTGGGACGAGGAGCGGGGCAGCCGCGGTACCTTGAGCTGCTGGTCCAGGATGAGCTCCGTGACGCGGTTCAGGATTTCATCCCGGCTCAGCCCCGCCAGGCTGTTCCCGTTCCTCCTCTTCGCCTCTCGGATGAAGGCGGTGAAATCTGAACTGGAGGGACAGGAAAGGCAGGAGCAGGGACTGGAGAGCTCTGCAGGCACCGGGTTTGATCCCAGCACGATCACAGGACACCAAACTGTCCCCATGAACTGGGGCAGGTGCCCGCTCCCAAAAACCCAGGGTCAAAGCCCTGGACAAGGAGCAGAACCATGGAATAGGGTGAGTTGGAAGGGACCTTAAATATCATCCCAGCCCCAACGTCCAGCCTGGCCTTGGGCACTCAAAGGGATCCAGGGGCAGCCACAGCTTCTCTGGGCACCCTGTGCCAGGGCCTGCCCACCCTCCCAGGGAACAATTCCTGCCCAATATCCCATCTGGWCCTGCCCTCTGGCACTGGGAAGCCATTCCCTGGCTCCTGTCCCTGCAGCCCTTGAAAATTGTCTCTCTCCATGGTTCCTGTGGGCTCCTTCAGGCCCTGCAAGGCCACAATGAGCTCAGCCCAAAGCTTCTCCTGTCCAGGCTGAACAATCCCAGCTCTCCCAGCCTTTCCTCCCAGCACAGCTGCTCCATCCCTCTGACCATCCTGCTGCCTCCTCTGGGCTCTCTCCAGCAGCTCCACGTCCTTCCTGTGCTGGGACAGGGCTGGAGCAGCTCTGCAGGTGGGGTCTCACCTGAGCAATGGGGCACAGGGGCACAATCCCAATCCCTTTCCTGCTGCTCAAGCTGTGGGCTCAGCCCAGGCCATGGGGATTCTGGCCCAAGAACCCCCACACTGAGCTGTTTATCCCTCCTAACCCTATCTTGTTGGTTTAAAGCCATTCCCCTTTTCCTRTCCCTCCATCTCTTGTAGGCCCAACAATCTCAATTCCTCTTGCACTCCATCCCTGGCTGCTCACACCTTTTCTGAGTTTCCCAGCACTCCTTCAAGCCAATACCTGCTGTAATTTGGGAATACACTCTGCAGCTGGCCAATAATACTTTCAAAGACTTGTGAAAACTTTTTGTTGTTTGCAGTTCCAGGAGGCCTCGGCTGCAGAGCTGAGGTTTCAGGGTGGGTCTGGTTGGGCTGGACACGCTGGGAATTGCTTCCAGAAATCCCTGATGGGCGGGAAGGTGACAGTTTAGTGGAATGGGATCCCTCTGGAGYTTTGGGATGCGTTTTCCCAGATGTAGAAGCTGCCTCAGAGCTGGCAGGTGCTGGCTGAGCTGCGGTCTGTGCGTGGAGTGGAGACTGGGCTGGAGATTTTCCRTCAGAAATCAAAAATGCAGGGAGGGAACTGGGATGAGCAGGTGCCGAGGAGCAGGAGACAATGGCAGGATCATTCATGACAGCTCTGCTTGGGATTGGCTAGGAAAAAACAGATTAATTCATTAATTTAATTAAAGCAAATGAACTCTGGAGCAATTGCAGCGTGAATTGGACAGATTTGGCTGTGMCCAGGACCTGCAAGGTGACAGCAATTTATCTGAAAAACTCCTCTAGATMAGGGCAGTTGTTTGATTATTTCTCTTCTAAAAGGTTACTGTAGAAGAAATAAATTCCAAATGCAGAACAAGAGGCTCAAAAGCTGCATTTTCCCAAGAAATTGGTGATTAAGTTGTCTCCCTATTCCCCATTAATAAAAGCAAAGAGATGCCTAAAAATAAATGGGGAAGGGAAATGATGCAGGAGAGCAGGAATGGGATGTGTAGAAGTCCAGAAAAAATGTAATAATAAGAATCTCAAATATYAGAAAAGAGCCCTGGATTCAAAGTATACCTGGGACAAAAGAAAAAAAAAAGTTTTTTTGCAGAGAAAACCAAACCAAACCAAACC